AGCAACAATCCAAGTTGCTACATGTCACATCAACACAACTCGAAAATGGAATAAGGGATAGTATCGAATCTAATAGTAAGTTATACATACCTTATATGGAATAAATGTAATCGGTGCTATGAATGACACACAATTGAAGATCTATTTTTAGAAGACACAGAATAAATACAAATATGCTCGTATGATCGATCTTGAATTATGTTACTCAATGTCTCCACAATCATAGATATTACAACTACCGTTTATTGAAAATATTAGTAATGTCGAGTTTAATTAATGCAGTACAATCTTTATGGATGATGAATGTAAGATGATATTGATGTCATGTTATACTAAGTACACCTAGAAAATGACTAACATGTTTTTTTCTTTGGAATTAGAAGGGGTTAATCACTAACCAAATCTGTCAGTGATCATATTTATGTAACTATGACACTAGATCTTGGGTTTTAATATTCCGCTATATAACATTTTTCATTCTATCTATTATGAACCACGTTCTCATTATAATTGCTACTACATTATTTCGATTCGTTTGCTAGTCATCGTGTTAATTTGATATGATAACATAAGTTAACACAAATTTATGTCACACTCTACGTTGATTAGTTGAGGATGGTTGGAAGAAAGTTAGGGGCGGCCAAACCAAAACGTGGCATCAGTGCCTGAAGTCACTAACTTCTAGTCTGAGCTATGTTGGTAGATGCAGACTACTTGGTTGGAGTCCGCGTGATTATCGTAACCAATGGTTGGAGACTCTTGGTGACATGGCTCAGAATCGATCACAATGGCGTCGGTGTATACACTCTTTGTTTTACCTTAAACTAAGAGATTAAAATCGCTTCATATCTTTCTTCTTACCAACTAATTCTTTCTTCCTTTACTATATCCTTATACACAATCTTTCGTTTATATATTACCACCATTGAATTAACTGCTATGAATTCGGTATTCATCTTGTTGTGCTAATGAAGTAAGGCAACTTGTACCGATGCATATATGTGCCTGGTCCTACGTTGTAGCTGAATGACTGACTACGTTGATTATAACAGACTAACTGAATGTTTATGACTAAGACATATTAGATAGCATCGATTCGAATTCTATGGGGAGTATTGGTCTCCAAGAAACTAGAGATACACCAGGTTGCTGACATCTAGTATGAAACCAATATTATCCTAGGTACTTCATCTTTTTTTTTTAACCAGTCACCATCCATAACTTGATTAACTTGTCTGTAAAACTTTCAAAATTAAACATCGAAACAAAAAGAAACAATTTATGGTTTCAGTTTAGGTCTATTTGATTTTTCATTTTGCGTCATTTTCATATTCAATATAAAACGTAACGTTAATTGACTGTCTACTACTACTACTACTATTACTAGTACCACTACTACCAATGGTGTATATCCATCCTTCTTTCTTTCGCTTTCTCTCTCTCTCTCTCTCTGTCGCTCTTTCACGATCACTCGGTCTATCTGAGCAATATTGTACATACATAAATGTATACACACACACACACCTTTTTATGGATGATAAACACCGTAAATCAGCTGATTATTTTTAAACATGGTTATAATGCAAAACAAGACGACTGATTAGAGTCATAGAGAAGAAATCAATAAAATAAAGAAAACAAAAACTAAATGTTTTCTTTAAATTACCCATATAGATGACAAATTCCAAACAAAATTACGACAATACTAATAATACTACTCCCTTCTGATAATAATCATCGTATGCTCACTAGTGACTGGCATCAAGAGGTATTCCCTAGAGTTCTAGTGAGAAGTCGTGACCAGTGGAGTTCAACTGGGTCTGTTGTGAGATAGTAACTCACTGAAGACAATGGTGGATGTGTGGCTGAATTTTGTGGATTAGTTGAATTTAGACATTAACATGGTTGGATGCTGACCGGTTAAGCGTTCACTCGCAGGTGAGACTGATAGGTGCTGGGTTCGAATCTCACGAGGCAGGATCGTGGATGCGCACTACTGAGGGGTGTTATATTAAGACGAAATAGCCATCCAGTGATTCCACGTTTTCCATGGTGATCTAGCTTTAATTGACTGATGAATTCAACTATTAAATTACTTAAATCTCCACAAAACCCCCTTCTGATAAAATTTAAAAATAATGGTAAAACATAGTTAACTACAATTAATCGGGAGAAAAATGGTAGAACAATCTCGTTTTTTAAAAAAATGATTCTCCTGAAGTGATTCTCTCCCATTTTCTCTCTCTCTGTCACTAACTATCAATTGATATGTGATTTTAATTATTCATGTGGTTTGTTTAAAAAGGGATGATATAAAAGTTCAGTTTAATGATTATGCATAGATTTTCTTGATTGTAAGAGTTGTTGAGGTTGAATGATTTTTTCAGATGAAGGAGGATGATACCCCAGGTCATTGAGACATAGACCAAACGATAAATAAGTCATGCTGATGGTTGTATACTATTAGTTATGATTTGACTTGACTCTCTGAGGAAAAAGACTTGTTGGTTGAAGAGAGAGATATATATTTATGAATGAGCTCTACATGTACTCTCAAATCGATCTGATTCTTTTTTTAGTGAGTGTTATATCCACTAATGTAAGATAAGACGCAAGATATCAATTTCGATTGATCAGTGATGATTTAATGGTTATATTATTCGGCTTTTGACTACTGAATCGCATGTTCGAGCTCATTTCCGTTTACTTCAGTTTGAGCATTCAGCTACTATCATCACAAAGTATTACATACATTAACGGAGTAGCTGAAAGCGGATTACACAAACAATCAATCATGAACAACGTTGAGTCTAACAGAAGTTTGTATTAAACCAAGTTACCATACCATATGAATACAGTGAAGTAGGAAGTTAACAAAATGAATAACGAAGTAGTTGAAATAACTGCAGTAGAAGGAATAAAAATAGAAAAAAATAACTTCGAAAGGAATAATAGAAAGGCGTATATGAAAGAATACTATGATTTACAACCTAGAGGAAGACAAAAATTGAATTTATCTGCTCCACTGTGACTAGTTTAAAGCCACATCACCTAGCGTTGCCAACCATTGGTCACGATAAGTGCATGTATACGTCTCATGATGCGTGGACAATCCTTCCAAGATCAAAAATTTGCAACCTACACATTTCTTGCATCTGTATGTACCCTGTTTCATAGTCACTGAGTAGTACAGGATAAACTGCTGCACAGTATACTCAACATTCGGTCGGTAGGAGGGTATTTCTCCTATCCATTAATTGACGAAAGCTGGACAAAAGTCAGAGGAGTTTTCTATATACATATTGAAATTTCGTCAGCAACAACTCTCATCAAGTCTGAAAGGACTTCAAATACAAGTGATGTGGTCAGTGAGCTCAAATATTTCATCTGTTGGACAAGGAATTGACGTAGGCCATCAGTGAATGGCATTCGGTCACATATTGTGTGATTGGCTCTTAACTATGGTTGAACTGTATGGAACAACTTGGAATTTAGAGTCATTACAATTCTGAAAAAAGAAACCCTGACATTTTGACTCACTCTGTCATGTTAGTTAGTTAGTTAGTTAGGAACAACTGACAGGCAGCTTTATTTAACAAAAAGTATTTACAATCTCCATGGAATTCGAACGATATCTTACATCATCTTGTGATAAGTCTAGTTTATATATTCAAGCTCATTCGTATTCTTTTCAAGAAAAAAGACATCGTTGTAACTAATAGGTCATGTATTCTAGTCATGTATTTTGAGTTGGAGGTAAAAATGAGTAAGATATTAAACGTGGTATTCTTAAACAAAGAGAAGTTATTTCCGAGATGGGTAGACAGATAGACAGTAGGAAATGTATATAACTAATGCAGTTATACAAAATACAGTGGAGTACAGACAACGATACAATTAGACTATTTGTATTACTTATGGATATAGATTCGAATAACCATGGTAATATTATTGTAACGGAAAGAGAACGATGAAAATCCCTCTGCAGCTACTTTGTTCCTTCTCCCTGTCGTGTATCTTAACTTTTGTTCAGATCTCGTTTAACCACACCTTTTGTTCTTGAGTCTTTCTCGTCTGATCCTTTATTATGTGATTTTGATTAAAGACTTATCTTTTGTTACCTAAGTTATCATTGCATGTTGCCGGACCATTGACAGTAAGGTCGTGTTTGACTAAGCTGAAGGTCACGGCGTGGTTCTGTGTGTGATTGTTAACCTCTTGAGTGTCTGCTTGGGAGGATTGCTAGAATCCCTGCGGATAGATATTTGATTCCATCTTGTTGGGAATATGTTTATTGATCCTCAGGTATCAAACCCCTTAGTATAAACTGTCTCTTTCATTGTTTAGCGCGCTACTTTGCGTTAGAGAAACTTCTGACTGTATAGCACAGGCTGTACCGTTTGAGGTATATTTGTATTTTTGATAGAATTTGTTCTGTTTTCTAAATTAGAACCGTTTATATTGAGCACAGAGTTTGTGTTTTGATATAATATAATACGAGTATCTCAAAAACGCGTTGTGAGCTATACAGAGGAACGTGGTCTGGTCTAATCGAATAAATTTTGTTTCGTCAGTCCGGTGTTCCAACCGAATACTCGTTGTTCGGTCGTTACAATTATAATGACTGAATCTTTTGTAATAACCTTATCTCTATTAGAAAATAATTTACCGTATGTAACAAGAGAATAAGATACATATCGAAGTGAATCCATGAGTCGATGTAAGCTAGATCACCATTGAAAATATGGAAGCACTGGAAGGATGTCTAGTGTTCTAATATGGGACAACTCAGCAGTGTGCCTCCACAATTCTGTACGCACGACTCGAACAACAGTAAATTAACTAACTATACAAGAAATAATGTAATTCAGAATGTGTACATGTTATGTTTATTAAATGTAACATCTTTACCAATAATGATAATAATTAGAAACTAAATTTGATTTATTTTGATGCAAACTATTCATTTAATCAATTTAATAGAAGTGAAAACAACTTACCAGTTGTAGTCTCTAACCAAACAATTCCATTTAAACAAATTGTAGTGCCCGGTTCACATGGTCCTAATAAATCTGGTTCAGTTAATGTAGCCTTGGAATTATCTAGTAGAGTATTGACACCGGTACATCGTCGTTCCGGTAGAATTGTTGGAAACGCCGTGTTGCTAGTAGTAGTAGTAGTAGTCGACGACGTCGTATACAATTGACTAGATGGGATTAATGATGTTGTCGCTAATGAGGATGACAATGCAGAGGAGGCGAGAGAAAGGGAGGTGGTGGCAGGTAACAATGTTGAGGTAGTAGTTGATGACATCATCAGTGGAGATTTTACTGAAGATTGTATTGATGATGATGATGAAGAGGGCAAGCTATTCGATGTTAGCTGCGATGAAACCACTGTTGTTGGCGTTGTTGTCATTGTTATCGTCATTGCTAATGGTGGTGGTGGGGATGGTGGTTGGGAAGAGGAGAAAGAGGAAGAGGTGGGGGAATGTGAAATAATCCATGTTTCTGATGGGTGACTTTTTTCGAAATTATTCAATATTGCATTCGATGTAAAAGATGAAGGATTGTGCATACTACTTAATGTTTGATTATTATCATTAGTAGTGTCAATATTGCGACAGATTTTAATAGATATATTATCATTTTTATTCTTATCAACAGAGTTAGTGACATTAGATGTAGTATCACATAATGAAGGGTCACTAGCTGGTATGGTAGACGGAGTTTCGGCTCTGGTGTCAGTCAACTTTGACTGTGTCGGGAATGACATCAATGAATCTGATGTAACTGATATATTTGCATTGATCTCACTAGTTGTATAATAATTATGAGGTGATGATGATGTAGACGAATTTATTTTCATGTTATCAGTAGTACTAACAGGAGTAGCATCTACAATATCTGATTTACGGCGTGTAATTCCACTTCCGTTAATGTTATTATTATTAGTAGTAATAGTATTGTTGTTACTATTCGAACTAGAGAAATCAGTGAATACAGACAATGGACGTGTACAGGACTGAGCAAGTGGTGAAGAATTGGGACCAGGACTTGAATGATTAAAGGAATTATCACTACGATTAGTATTATTGATTGTAGTAGTATGTAACATTGGACTACTTCTAGCTGAATCAGTAGTCAGTGCGCTACATCGTTCATCGTTCTTTAGGAGAAAAAAAAACAAAGAATGATTAATAATAGTAATAATTATAGAACAGCATATAGTCAAGCGTAACAAAATTCATTTTCAGATAGAGTATGGATTATCATTAAGTTGTAAATCCCTAAGCCTGCTTTGCAAATTGGTTGGTTCATCTTCATTAAATAACCATGGTAATTTACACAATTGTCACCAACTGGCTCATACACATACACATACATAAAAACACATTACTTCTTGGATGTAACATCCTTATGCCCCCAAATGCCCTGGTATCGCCAAGAGTGGGGTGGACCCACCCTCCCTCTCCAAATGCTCTCACATGGCCACGCGTATACAGCATCTGTCAGTGAAGTCCTACTCACTGCCTTCTCGTGGCGCGGTTGTTGCTTACGAAATTGAGAGGACGAAAAGCGAATGTCCGGTGCTTTAACCGGATTCCAAACCAAATCAATGTTGCACATGGGCTCCAGTATCCTGCGGGAACAAATGGTGTATGAACCAATTGTTGGTCACCGGCTACCATGAGACTACATCTCCTCACGGTGCTCCACTGCCTTGTGGATCAGACCTTAAGGTCAAAGGCTCGGGGTGTGGCCCCCCTAAGATAACCACCTTCTTCGGTTTGGGCACCCGGGCAGTATCACGGCCCTCACACAAATCGAATGATTTATGTGGCGCATATCTATTTGGTGCCTCCTTGTACCAATGTTTGTGTTTAAATAAATAAATAAAATAACATCCTTATAAAATGAATGCAAACTTATTCATATCTGAACGTTGTAACACATAATCATTGATAAGGTTATTCAGTGTTTAGGTGTTTCGAGCCGTGTTGTATATATTCACTTTAGTGATATAGTCTACCTAGTCAAATTGTAAAGTTAGATAGATAAAGTTTTAGAATTTACAACTGACCGATCAAGAACCGAATCCATTAAACACTACGGCATTAATATACTTTCTTATTGTATTTATAACTTACTCTATAATTGGTTGCATTAATCATTTTGAAATGAGCTTAACAATCAGGAAATTCATTGATTACTTCTGTGAAATTCGCTTTAATCTTACTGTTCATTATTTTGAATAGTATCCAGAAGGAACTGTCACAACTGAATATTGTTATTAAATTACGATTACATTATTATTCATAGTAACACATTATTTTGCTAATCTTTGAGAGGTTCTTGTTTATGTGATTCCCTCCTCCTTATATTTGGAATCAGTCAGTCAGTTAGTTAGTTAGCACTGCGCGTCGTGGTAATCGTAGTTCAGGCATACGTAATACGTGGCCCAACCATCTCGGATGATGAAGATTCACAACCTCATCAACTGATTTATCATCATTCCGTAATACCCTGCGTCTAACGTCACTATTAATTACCCGATTATCCCAGCAGATGCGAACAATATTTCTAAGACATCTGTGATCAGATACTAGTAACTTACGAGTGTTTTCTACTCTTAATGGTTAGACACTAACACCACTGGATGCCTAATCAAGAGCCTGACGTTTAGGCATTCTCACGCGAAAACGATTGTTACGAGTTCGGCGACCGGATGTGGGTTCGCTAATATGCATTCCTGAGGAGTTTCATACTAGGATGAGACGGCCGTCCAAGTTTCCTAATGCTGGTATATTTCAGGTCATTCCACACTTTAAACCCTCAATATTTTAAAATCACACACACATCCTGTACTAATAAGAATATTAAATAATTATTCACTATTTTCAAAGTTAAAAGACCTCTATTGAATTAATTCTAACAATTGTTTTGTATTTCAATATGGCGAGCTTATCCGGGATGAAGTAGTATCATCTTGATTTCACTATCCTGAATCCTGCATGACTACTACCAAAAGGAGCAAATATTCTACTATGAGTCTAGATACAAATTTGTACAGTCGGTCACTTGTTATAATCAAAAATAGATGACAGGAAACTCCACCCAATTTGGATTTCGTATTAGTTGGCAGTCGTCAGCAAGGTGAACTGATTCTCCATGTGAAATTCGAAAAAACATCGTTTAGCTATACAGTCTTAAACTTTATCATTGAATGATCAGGGCCGTAACTGACTTCTTATAAGTGAATTGTACTATCTAACAAACAGCTCAGGCTGAAATAGGTGGTTATCAGTTTAGGGGTTGTGGAGATTGTTGAGTTTTTTTTATTGGAATCATGGGTCAATTGAAGCTAGACCTGGAAGCACTGGACGGCCGTTTCGTTCTAGTATGGGACTCCTCAGCAATGTGCATCCTGGTGCCTGGTATGAGACTGATAGGTCCTGGGTTCGAATCTCGCGGGGTGCAGCGTCGTGGATGAACAGTACTGAGGAGTCTCATACTAGGACGAAACGGCCGTCCAGTGCTTCCAGGTTTTCCATGGTGGTCTAGCTTCAACTGACCCATGATTCCAATCCATAAAATAGGTGGAATAGGGTACAAATCCACAGACCAATAATTCACAAGGTTAAAAAAAGGTTACGTAAGCGCTATTATTGTCACTGCTTCACTTTACAATAAGTAAGTATCCGATATGAATATCAGTCAATCAGATCAATTATGATTAACCTTAAGATAGATCGAATAGTGAAACATTGAAATTAATTAAAATTGAAATAAAGATTAAATAAATGAAGTTAATTTTTTACTTCTTTATTCTCATTCAGCATAACTACAGAAGGGGAGAATTTATTATTTTGTAAAAAAAAATACCCAATCTAATTTCATTGCAACCACCCCCCCCCTCAAACACACACACATACACACTTTTATACAAAGAATTCTAAACATATGTATCTGTGTGTGTGTGTGTTTTAATGTGACAGTGAACATTTGAATAGTTACTGACAGTGGAATTCAAGATGTGTTCATTTCGTTCTGTTTAGGACTAATCAAATGAATGTAACTTGGATATTTTAATGTTGATAATTACAAAGAAACTGAAACTTTTAGTCTATCACTTTGAACACCAACGCGTTATTCACTAAGTTACTGATTAAATAAATAACCAGGTAAAAGGAATCTCTTAATAAGCGTTTGTAATTTCACCTTCCCCACCCCCTGTTGATATATCCAGGACTGAAATTGATCAGTTCTTAAAATATCAACTTTGGGACATTAGTAAACCACAGGTATACAAAATATTATTGTTTATTGTCATTTAATTTTTGTCAGTCAGTCAGTCAGTAACAACGTAGGACCAGGCACATATATGCATCGGTCCAAGTTGCCACACCTTGCTCATTAGCACAACAAGATGAAAACCGGATTCATAGAAATAGTTAATTCAGAGGTAGTAATATATAAAAGAAGGATTGCAATAAGGATATTGTACAGGAAGGAAGAATTAGTTGGTAGAAAGAAAGATATGAAGCGATTATAATCTCTTAGTTTAAGGGAAGACAGACGCCGATGCCATTGTGATCGATTCTGAGCCATTCCGCTCACAGTCTCCAACCGTTGACTACGATAGTCACGCGGACTCCAACCAAGTAGTCTGCACCTACCAACATGGCTCATACTAGAAGTTAGTGACTTCAAGCACTGATTTTTGTATCCTTCTTTGATATTATTGTTATCATCGAGAGTATGAATTAGATAAATAATGAAAATAAATTAATTGATTCAAAGATTTCCATAGCTATTCCTATTTATACCGTAACAAAGGTACTGTCATTAACAACCGGCAAACCTACTCATATTATACACGCATAAATGTTGTAAATTATTACATTTTCAGATGTTCTTCTAATGTGAACGTGTTCTAAGACGAACTTGATGGAACAGCAAATGACTAATATGAGATAAAGAAGGTATAACTTTCAGAATAGTTTTATATTCCTAATAGAATTCGAAGACTGAAATAGAACAACTGTTTATTTAGCAGCATTCAGTAATCTTGGGGTACATAATGAATTTAATAAGCAACAACCAATCAGATAATGGGAAAAATCATTTCAAGGATGTGAATTAGGTCTTGGGTTCGAATCCCGTGTGCGGGATCGTAGATGCGCACTGTTGAGGAGTTTCATACTAAAACGAAGCGGTCATTTACCGCTTCCAGGTTTTCAATAAAACAGATTCTTTCGTGTTTGACTTAAATGGGGCTTTTAAACAGGAAAAAATATTTGGTACATCATCATCATCATCACCAAAGATTAGCCGCGAAAATTGTAGTCCCATCACGATTATTTTGTCTACATATTGTCAAACTCCAAACAATCCACGACACTGAGCGACACATCAATCATTGTCTTCAGTGCGTTACTATCTCACAACAGACCCAGTGCTTCCGGACTTTCCATGGTGGTCTAGCTTCAATTGACTGGTGATCTCAACTATTTAAAAAATATTATATATTTGCTGCGAGACAATTGTGTTCGATCTTTTTTCCAATGTTTTAACTATTTTTTTTTCGGTTTTTATTCAAATGTATCACTCTGAGTTTTTGTCTATCATACATCCTTCTCATCACCCCCCTTATTGTCCCCATGTAATAAAATAGTCTCATACTAATCAACTTATGATATGTATATAACAAACAATTTTAGACTTAACCTCTCTCCTATTACCTATTAGATTCTGTCAGGTTGACTTTCATTTAGACACGTCAATTTTATTCTCCCATATCCTCTCCCCACTTCTCTCTCTCTCTCTCTTTTCATTGGGATTTTCCGTTCATCAAAAGAAATTAAAATATTTACAATTCATTAGTCTTTACTCAAGTGGGAGGGGGGGCGGGCGGATTAATACTTGATGTTGTCAATGATAATATCATGTTTAAGTAGTAGCTAACTTACAATTAATTTAAAAAGTATTCCTAACTGGAAAATTAAATGTTTATTCCGCTATAACAGAGATCTGTTAGTTATTCGGTTGTTTTGTTGTTGTTGTTGTTGCTGAGGCGAACGTTGTTCATTTGTATTTTGGTTTTTTTGTTATTCTGTCCCTATGGGTGTAAATATATTTATTTGTGAGACCTCTATAGTCAATAAT